GCCATAAATGGCACGCTTGCCATTGGTTCGCCATCCCTGTTATAGAGTGATCAGGGTTCATCACTTTTACTATTAAGGCTGTTTTTCGAAGACTCCGTCGTAAAATTAAATGATGCTTTTTTCCTAATAATATGCTATTTTTATAACTGCTGTAGGTTTGCAACGACGCCCGTTGGCTGTGGGTAGCTCTTCACGCTCCCATGCCACAGGTCCTTGAGTTCGATCCTCGGGCCGAGCAAGGTTGACTCAACCTTTCATCCGTTCAGTGGGTCGATAAAGAAGTTCTAAGCATAAACACTGGGGGCTCCGCTTCGGCTGACCAACTGACAGGAACATCTGCTCATGCACTTCAGAGCCCAAGGTCAAGAAAACTGAGATGGGCACAGTAGGCCTTGGCCCTCTCTGGGCTGTCGTGCCACTGAGTTCAGTGTAGTAGGTTTGCAACTGTTACTCATGACTGTTAGGTCAAGTGTAGCCTTTTTAAAGCCAGCGCTGTCTACGCTAATTTTGAAAAAAGACACAAAACGTGGATATGGAGAAAAGCTACAGTTTTTCAAAAATGAAAAGTGTTTGTGGTCAAATTTTTTAATATTCAGAAACTTACTACAACGTTGCATTACCTGAGCTCATAAAAAATTTTCAAAAACTGAGAATAAGGCATTGATTTTGAAAATTTTAACCCTTTAACATGCCCTTTATTTCTAGTAAAGGTAAATTAAAGTATTTTTGGAATTGAAATTGTTTTAAGAACAGTAATTGATATTTAAAAAAAAACCTCATTTAGTTTATAAAATTGCCATTTTTTGGTGGTAAATATATTTAACATGACCTATTAGGAACTTATTGACTTTTATTTTTCTTTAATTATAAAATAATTTCCTTAAATGCTACAAACTTCAAAAGGAATTATGTATTTTATAACTTTTATACGTTTTTTAAAAGTGACAAATGGTTACCAATTTTATTCAAACTCACTTCAAGAAAGCTGAAGTTATTGAAAAATGGAAACCTAAATTAAAAGTGGTGAAACGTGGTGGTAAGTATACTTACCACGGCCTTCAAAAGGGTTAAGCTAGGTGAAATGATTTCTCCAAATTGGTAACTTTTAAAAATGTTTAGTAACTTTTAAAATACTTTCATTTGTCTGTTCCGCAGCCCAAATAAGTATTCACGGCAAGATTCTATGTATAATTTATGATCATCGCATTGCTTCTAGTGTAGAGCACTTTAATTAAGTTCTTTTTTATTTTCCTTAGCTTCGAAAAACAGCGTTAAAATAAGTTACATGGGTGTCAGAAGACAAATGTCATTTCTAAAATTTTTTAAAACTTTAGCAATCATTTGAATTTTTGTGGGGGAAAACTGTTAAATCGTTATACAGTCTAAAATGAAAATTGTGATTTTTTTCCCCGATTACTGGAAATTTGTGAAAAAATATAGTTAAAAAAATTGTGAAGAAATCGAATTTTGATTTGAATGATTCTCACTTTTTGTTCAATCGCATTTTAACTCTTTTAGAGGCAAGGGGATAATATCTGCTCCCCTTATTTTTGACAATAGATAAAACTATCAAAAATTGTAATAGTTTTGATCTCTTGGGGTACTGTGTTTTCAATCTACCATTTTAAGATAAATTGGATTGCTTCATTTTAGATATGCATATGATGACCACAATTTTTAAAACGCTTCTTAACAAAAAACTTTGATTAAAGTTTTTGTTCCCCCCAACGGATTAAATTATTACAGTAAAATTTATTCCTGGGACAGCCTTTCTAATGAATTTAAAAAAAAGATTTGCACTCCTTACTGCATCCACTACTGTGAAATCGTTTACCACTCATTTATCACTTAATAACTTACACCAAGCTGTGAAGTCCATCTGCCAAAATCAGACAGACCAAAACCAACTTCACATATTTTTATTAAACTTCACATATTCTGATTAAAGTTATAACATTTAAAATCAGCACACTAAATATTTTTATGTTTGCGTTAATATTTTTCTTCTTGAAAAAAAGTACTCAGCCAATGATCATTACTGTGACTCTCAAAAATCTCATTATATATATATATATATATATATANAAAATGACATAAAAAAGGTTCTATACCTTTCAATTAAAAAATTTTTCGAGTATTATTAAATAAAATAATAAAATTAATAGAAAATTACTAAAATTTATTTTTTGCAGGGAATTGTCTTTGATTAAACAAACTTTTAATTCAGTGCAAAATTTTTCAATTCGCTTAAAAAATTCTCTAGATGTGGCAAAATACATAAAGAGTAAAATTAACATAAAGGGGTCCAAATTTTGGATCATTCTCTTGACCAAATTATAGGGACCATATTTCCCAAATTGCAGTTACCCTCTATATTTTGGGGTCAAAAATTCCTATCCGTAGAAAAAAAGGTATGTTTATTCAGAGAAAGTACGCTTTTTCGTCTGATTTCGTAACTTAAAATATCGTCTGCACTAATTAGTTAGCATATTTGACATCACCCTCTTGAACCATTAAGAATAAGTGTTAGAACGTCATGATCTGATTATTAGATCAAAATTTATTCAGAGAAGCCAGTTATTATTTTTTTTAGCACTGTACACGTTTATAAAGAACGTATAGGTTTATGTACAGTGAGACCTGTTTTTGTGCAGTCCTTTTTTATGCGATTCTGTTTTTGTGCGATTGGTTTTATGCGATTTTTTTTTTTGTGCGAATTATTTTTATACGGTATACGAATCTTAACGGCGTTAGCACCAATTTAATGTTTCCTATCAATGTGCATATGCATGTTGTGGACGAACTCTGATTACGTGGTCTCCTTGACAACGATGTATCTGGAATTCGCGATGCTCTGTTTATTTATTTTCATAAGTTCATTTATTATCGTCAACTCCATTTTCTCTTCTGTTTAAAATTTATTCTACGCTAAACAAGTCGGTAAACAATCGTCTGCTGTGTTAAAATACTTTGTATTTTAAAATTAGACCATTATTTTTATTTTGTAAATTCTCCTCTGCGCGTATCTCAAATATACGCTTCGTATTCAGAGTTTTTTGCACGATTCATGTGATTAAGGATTCATTTTATAGTGAGATTAATGGTAAATTAATTACTTTTGTTTCTATTTATATGTAGTTTTTATGATTTTTATTTTATTTTTAGACATAGTAAGTTCTCCCTTAAAATGAATAATTATAGCCAAAACAAAGTAAAAAGACAGACAATTCCATTAGAAGCAAAAATTCTAATATTAAATAGACAAGCAGATGATGAAGGATCCACAGCTGTTGCTAATGAATTTAAATTAGGTGAATCCATGATCAGAGCTATACACAAACGTGCAAGTAAAATATATGAATCTCTTAATAATACAACAAACGACAGTAGTAAAAGAGCATCGTATTCGAGAAATATTGTAATAGAGAAGACGGAAAAGGCTTTCGTGTTGTGGGTTAAAGATTTAACTAAAAAACGAATCCCCGTTCACAAAGAATTAATTCAAGAAAAAGCTAGACAGTATTTCAACCAACTGAAGGACTTAGAACCAAGTTCGTCATCTTGTTTACGAGAAGTGACATTTTCTGCGAGCAATGGCTGGTTTGCTGGATTTTTACAACGGTACGCACTTCATAACGTGAAGATACAAGGCGAGGCAGCGTCCGCCGATGAAACAGCTGCTATGAATTATCGCAAAGCATTAGCGGAAATCATTGATGATGGTGGATATTGCCCAGATCAAGTATTTAATGCAGATGAGACTGGGTTATTCTGGAAAAAGATGCCCAGCCGAACATTCATTGCGAAATCGGAGAAAATTGCAAGTGATTTTAAAGCGGCAAAGGATCAAATCACACTTCTTCTTTGCAGTAATGCCTCTGGTGCATAGATGTTATCACCACTTATTATAAATAAAGCTTTACACCCACTCGCGCTAAAACGCGTAAATTTATCTGAATATCCAGTACACTTCATGGCCAATAAAAAAGCATGGGTCACATCAGCTGTATTTTCAACATGGTTCAACGATGCTTTTGTACCAGAAGTTGAAAAATACATGGAAGAGATGGGTCTTCCGTTTAAAGCATTGCTAATTGTAGATAATGCACCCGGTCATCCCTGTATAGAACATCTTAATGTACAAATAGTGTTTTTACCACCAAATACGACTAGCCTTATACAACCACTGGATCAGGGCATAATCGCAAATTTTAAGAAACATTATATCAAATTAACTTTCAGCTACATTTTTAAAAAACGAGAGAGCGATAAACTAAACCTGACTAAAGTTTGAAAAAAATTCTCAATTTTAGGCTGCATAAACCATATTATTGCAGCAATTGGACAAATCAAACAACACACATTAAATTCGTGCTGGAAAGCGATCTGGTCCGAATGTGTAATTAATCGAAACGTCACCGAAAACGCTTCAACGTTATTATCTGAAATTAGTGCGCTCGCACATAACATCGGCGAAGAAGGCTTTGATTCTTTCGGCGTTAATCACTGGGACGAATTGATTGAGGACCAAACTGTGGACGATAG